AGGGAGTGGGCACTTGCCCCCGCCCCCTTTAAGGTTTCAATATTTCGAACGAAAGTGGTCCTATTCTGGCTTTCTTGGTAGCGGTGTAGGGTAAAAGTTTCCGATCTTTCTGAATTCGATAGAACATTTTCAACATTTTGACGGGTGACCCCAACTTTTGGAGTCACGATCCCCCTTTTACCTCCAGAGGGGTGTGGGGAGGGGCTTCGTGGTCACAAAATTTGGATACCTCAGGGTACCGACTCCCTAAAAGACCGCGCAGTATTCGACTCCATCCGACCTAAAATAACCGCCCTGGTAAAAATTGGCGATAGGAGCTGCGTTTCAAAATACCATAGGAGTTCTTATAGCCGACTGAAGAAGGCGATAGAAAATCATATAGCTGGCTGTAGATAGTGGAAAAAATCATACGTCCGGGCTACACGAAGCGATAAAAAATTAAACAGCCGGGCTATAGTTCCTGTCGCCGGGCATTACACTTTATCGCCTGGCTGTTGATTTTTCGCCATCGGCTATAAAAGGCTACAAGAAATTGTGTGGAAATTTGTGTGCTTTGTAAATCCGCAAGTTTATACGGAATCACCATAATATTTACAAAACGCACATTATATTTTCCTTTACTACATATTTGTTTTAATCAATTAAAATGAGAATAATCCATACAGAGTGTGCAAACATTTCAAAGTCATGAGTTGAACAACGCTGACTCCACGAGATATATATTATAGCCTAACACAAAGCGGAGCGGCGGCGCATTGGCGCCTACAAACCTAACAGGGATACTTCACGCACTGCGCAATGCGTGAAGTATCCCTGTTAGGTTTGTAGGCGCCAATGCGCGTTTCGCGCTGGCTGCCCGCCCGCCGCGCTGCGCCGCAGCGTACCACGGCGCTTGAAGCAACTATTTCACACCAGAGGTATTGCACAGTATCGTACGAAATTGAAGGTGCTCCAACATATTAGGAATGACATGCATCCTTCAAAAGTACGGAGCTTCCCTCGCAAAATAAATCAAGATACTACGGCCCAAAAAGAGAGCGATAGTCCAAAAACTCACTACGTCCTAGCATCCGTAATTAGTAACGGATAGCATACACTTTATCGTCAGGCTGTTGCTTAATCGCCATCTGCTATAAAAGGCTATAAGAAATTGTGTTACCGGCTATAGAAGCTATTGGAAATCTTACAGTCGGCTGTAGGTCTATGGTATTTTGGAACACAGATTCTACTGCCAATTTTTACCAGGGCGAGTAAAAAACCTGGTTCGGATGGTCTGAAACACCCTGAATAAAAAATACTTTAAACGTCATACTCGGGCTCTGATCAAATGGATATAGATTTCTTAAAAGGGAACAAAGTACATTCGCTATCGCAAAATTTTATTTAAAGATATTTCGGGGTGTTCGTGATACTCAAGATCGGCCTTTAGACGAAACTGCGGAGTCTGGCCCATGTATTTTTTTACAGAAGTTGCTCGCCTAAAAATTCGTGTCATGCGCACTTTTATGACGCTATCGTGAGGCATTTCCTGATCGAACACGTGTACCTCAAGTTTCAACAGCTGTGTTCATTCCGCGGTACTTTCCTCCGTATCTGTTCAAAGTCAAAATCGAGGGCACTACATCGCGCTTTCCATTTACAAATGTGTGTCAGCTCCCCGACACTTGCAAATCCTCCATTAAACCCGACAAAAAAAAAATAAAAAGGGCATTTGCCGCGAGTGAACGTGAGGAGCACCTCCGTCGGTCGCGACACATCGGGCGTGAGTGACGTCACGGGTCAGAGAGAGAGAGGAGCTTGCGAGCGATACGAGGTGAGTGAGGGAGAAGGTGCTACGCATAAATAGGTCAAATTCGACCCGTTCGAAGTAGGTCAGGTTGATTTAGGAGCTGGATTGAGGCGGCGCGGCGCTGCGCGGCCGACGGTGGCGGCGAGCGGAGCGGCGTGAGAGTTCACGATGTCACTGCAATCAGGATTATTCAGGTGCTTGGTGCTTTCTATTTCCGGATCCGACTTCGGCCTCCGCGCCCCTTTTCCGGTCTTTCTTTGTCTTCTTCCCAGTGTCAAGGAGTCAAAAGCTCCGCCTGCATGCCCTCATGCTATGTGGGGAGAAAGAGGGTCATCCATAATTTCTCGTTTTTGGCTAAAAAATGCGTTAACTTTCACACGATGATCGACGTCAGTAGGTGATTGTTAAAATTGATAGACAAAGCTATAGACAGGGAAGAGGAGTCAAAAGCTCCGCCTGCCCTGATACTATGTGGGGAGAAAAAGAGTCATCCATAATTTCTCGTTTTTGGCTAAAAAATGCGTTAACTTTCGCATGATGATCGACGTCAGTGGGTGATGGTGAAATTTGATAGATAAAGATATTGACAGGGAGGACATAGGGAGTATGGAGCGATCCTATTCTTTAAAATGGGTGGTTCGTACATAACTACGGAATCTCTCGTGGGTGGCCGTTATAGTTAGTCTATAACCTACCTACTTTGTCCATTGCAATCACCCACTTCCACCAATAGGATTCCTCCACACCCCTTTCGTCTTCTATGTCTATAGCTTTGTCCATCAATTTCAAAAATCAGCCCTCAGTACTGGTCTCACACTGACACATTCATAAAAATTCTCCGACTACTCGAGTTTTGTCCCTTGGCAAACGTAACTCCATTCAAACGTTGGAAAATTGACTCAATTTTTCACAAGAACGTACCAGTACAATTTTGTTCAAAATGATTCTAATTTTCGCATGAGATTAGAAAAAAAAGCAGTGCAATTTTCACTTAGAAATGCCCAAGATTCTCCCGGTAGAAAAGCAATTTGGGAGGAAAAATTTCGAGCTTCTTCCATACTACTTGAAAAATCTAAGGTATGAACTGCTCGTGCATACGGTCTGGCTTTCACGACTACAGCAGAAAAGTGCCGTAAACATGTTGTGTATGGAAAAGCAGGTGTATGAACTTACTGTTCATATGGTATGGACTCTTGAGTCCATACTCTTCGTATGTAATATTTGTCCATACTAAAATAGACTCTCGCTGTTCTTACGCCGGCATCAAATTTTTTACAGTCTGTACATACGTGGCTCCGACCCATACTTTATGAAGCGTGAGTACATACATTTTTTTCAGCGTGTGAAAAACTTCCTACGTATAATTTTAATGGAGAGATACCTAACACAGTGCTTTAATTCATACGCTATCTATTGACCAATTGGTTCTTGATTACCTAACAATCAGTCCGACAAGCAGTAGTGTGGCGTGCTTTGCGATACGTCGATATTTAGCCATTCGAAGCTATGGCAACGAATCGATTATTAAGGCGTTCGTTGCGAAAACCCTGTTTATCGACCCTTTTCAACAGGATTAAATGGCAGATCAATTCTAGGTGGCGGTAGCCACCCCGGCCCAATCCAAAAAACTCCCACTAAAAAGTGACGAGACCAAATGAAAAAAAAAAAAAAAAAAAAAATCTATATATCGCAAAGCACGCCACGCCACTGCCGACAAGTAGCCCTGGAGCAAAGTTCCCTATGGTCGTCATCCGAGGGTTGCTTTCCACGGGTCAACGGGATACTCCACAGGGCCCGCTGACCCGCGACCGGCAACCCGCAACGCAATACGCGGATAAATAGGTCAATGAAATACCGGAACCCTCTTAAATGGTTGAACGCCTTCGCCGCGGCACAGGCACAACCGCGCTGCGCCACACCGTCGGGCGGTCGGGGCCGATCAATTGGTTCCGCGGAAACACGTCGCTGTGACGAAATCCGTCCACGGTCGAGCTCCTGTCACTACGCCTGAGCCGTGCACCCTCTCTGCCGTAGAAGGAAAAACACCGTAAAACCAATCAGGCATTGCCAAATTCCCTGCGACAAATCATCAATTTCCTGGAAAATTTGCAAAAATTCCACCTCCGATTTTTCACAGGATTTTGTTCGTAATTCGATCTAAAGGTTCTGGAAATTTCAAGACGAAATGTTCATGACTTTCCTCAAAAATAAATATTTTCTTGTGGGAAATTTGGCAACATTTGAATGCTCATAGGGTGTTTTTACATAGCACGGCAGCGCTTGGCTCAGACAATCGAGAGTGAGAGCGCTCCGACGGCGGCTGTGTCGGTAGTCAAGGTTCCCGGCCACAGTCCGATGCCGATGGTTCCGACCGATTTCCAATGCGCCGAAAACCCCGATCCAAAACGCTTTCACACGGCCGGCTACGTCAGAGCCGCTTAGCTAGGTCGCTACTGCCTGGTCTGGCATAGCCAGAGACAAGAGACCATCCACTGGCGGCCTCTTAGCGAAAGGTGAAAGCTTTCACTTTCGGGGACTCAAAACTTCCTTATGGATAATAATAAGGGAGCAACACTTGCAACAGTCATCATACCTACTCCTACTAGGTGGATGATGAGCTTCGATTGAGGTGATGAGTCAAACAAGCTTGCAAAACAAACTACCCGATACGTTGTTCAACATCCACTTAGTAGGTAGGTCATCAGTTGAATAATGGAATATCGAAAGTCAAAGCTTCCACCATTTGCCAATATAGAAATAAGATATTGGAGATGTTGCATGTGTTAGGAATTTGCAAGTGGTAATCAGCAGTAATTCTGGTAGAAATTTCTGCAAGAGTAAAACATTTTCCGGAAAATTCATGTTTTTCGATTTCCCTGACGTTTCCCTGACACAAAAATCGCTTGCAAAATAAAATTCCCTGACATGTCGAATTTTTGCAGATTCCCTGACGTTTTCCCTAATTTACCTGACACCCCCCAGAAATTCTCTGACATTTCCCGGTTCTCCTGGTTTTCCCGGTCGCTAGACAGGACACCCTGGAGTGCAATTATTGGACTTACTTCTTCTTACATGTTTACAAGAGGGAAACTCTGGTAAGTTTCGCGGAAAGTGCACTGTGAAGGCACTCTCGAATTTGCACACTATTTGTAAGAATTTTACACAAAATTGAATTTGAAACGATTGGGATATGAAATATTGTCGGACTTACCTATTCTTCCATTGGTGGGACTATAAGGGTCGTAGCTGCCCGAAGACATGGGGGATGAGTATCCATTGGAGGAGATGACGGTGAACTGGTTGGCGGGGGGTCCTGGCGAGGGGGTGAGAGGTACGGAAGTTTGCGAGGTAGGATTGTGGTTATGGCCGGAGTGGGAATGGCTGTTGGGCGAGTGGGCCGTCGAGAGCCAGTCGTCCGAGCGGAGCGTCTTGCTGCTCCCGAGGCCGCTGAAGAGCCCGTTGCTCGCCACCACGCTGAGCGGCCGCCCCACCGAGATCTCCGGGGCCCCGAAGCACGGCGAGTGGACCCGCGACTCGCTCTTGATCCCGTCCCCAGGGCCCGGGCCCCCCCGCATGTACGCTGTATCATGTTTCAAGTCCATTTTGAGCCCACCGAGGTTCCGGCCGTATCAACATAGAGTAGTCGATGTTAGCTCATCGGCCGACGACAACCGCTTCGCGCGCGGGGCCAGTCGCCGCGCGAGCATTCACAAAACGAAAAACTCGCGAAAATAAATTCTCGACGTCACTCGCGGAAATTCCTGACGTCACTGGTTGAAATTCCTGACGTCACTGGTTGAAATTCCTGACGTCACTGGCGCCAACACTCCGGAATCACTGATTACTATCGCGATGAACGGCTAAAATAAAATTTCTCGATCTAACGAAACTAACAACGGTTGAACTCTGTAGCTTCTTCTAGAGAAGGGAGGAAAAAACTATTCGTAGCCCGCGACGAAGTTACAAGATTAGATATGACTTTCTATTTTCTCTAGAAAAAAAAAACGGGGGAAAAAATGTGACTAGAAAAATTGAAGCATCCCGACGCGAGGAGATTCATGAAGCCGTTGACGATGAGATGACGTCATGCGCTTTTCGATCGGTCGCGATTCTCTTTTCCAATTCATAGGTGCCCCTGAAACAAAAGAAATTAACGGAATGGTTAGAATCGTGAGTGTATAAGTTGAATGATGGCGAAAAGTAATTGAAGGGTGTGACGCTTGGGTTTATGTAATTGCCAGGTACTAAACATGAAACAGGGCCTGGAAGGTATTAGGTGCGAAAAAAAGCAACTTTTAAATAATGTGTGTACACTATCACTGAGCTTTAAGGCGACGGTAGCGTTGACCGTTGAGGAAAAACAAGTTTACAGTAATGATTTCTAAACAAGGATAAATTCGTGTGCAATAAATCGTAAAACACAAAGGAACGTAAATAAATTTTATTTCAGCACGGGTGAAATTTAACGGCTTAGACAAAATGAAGAATCATTAATTTCATTGAGATGTAAAGAACTGCACGATTTCTCATAGGGTTAAATAAGCACCACAATTTTCTGCGGTTTGCTCAAAGGTGATCGAAGTGGAGATTGCTGGTTGTGGTACTAGGCGCTTTAATTTTAAGAATCAAAAGGTGATTAAGCCACGCATGCGCAACTGACGAACCTCCTAGCTTTGGTTTTTGCCCAAAAAATGAGAGTGTGAATAAATTAAGATCAACCTTAAAACCCCCTTAGGAATGACCTTTAATAATTTCAGAGAAATTCCAGACATTTTCTGACGATTCCTGACTTCTTACAGACTAAGAACTGAACACAAACATCTAGACTTGAATCCAAGAGGAACGCATTGTTATTAACCCCGCTCAGCCCGTACCTGTAGAAAGGATTATAATGTGACGGATTCGTGCAGACAGGGTGTCTACTAAAACAGGCTGGCCAAAAATCAGTACTTTTCCAGTACATTCCCGAGAAATCCAGTACCTCCTCAACAGAAAAATTTAGTTCGTTTTCAGTACCTCCATTTGACGAGATTCGAAAAATTTCAAAAATTTGATTTTTTCGCTCAAGTCGCGACAAAAATGACAGAAAAAAGACAAAAATTCCGGACCTCTTTGCTGAATTTCCGCAATTTTTCAGTACTTCCGGACCGCCAAAAAAAAATAAACCCGAAAAATCCTAATAAATCCTTCCTAATAAATCAGTACGATTTCCGGACTTTCCAGAAATTCCGGACTTGTAGACACCCTGACAGTCTCTCCCAAACACTGAAGGTCTTCAAAAATTGTCCAAGATTTCCCTACCTTAATTTTTGCACAAGTTCGCTACGAACACACGACTTGACTACACGACGCTCCATATACGATAGAGTCTCCTCCCACCCAAGACAAATAAGTTGAAGAAGCCGCTGAAACGGCTCGGGCGATGGCGAAATCGGGATAGGAGTCTTCCGTCAACCCACGGAATATCCCGGCTCAGCCTTGAGCTTGGCGAGCGAGTCATCCGGAGGATCGGGGGCAGAGGAAAGACGATCCTGAATTAATAGGCACGGCACCAAGATGATAGGCACTTGATTCACGATCGAAGAGGACGTTTTCAATACCGGCCATCGACTACCACGCACCGGGACTCAGACCGGGCAGCCTATCATTATGGGCTTGTTATTATTATTATGTAGGACTAGGAGGGGGGTCGGGGGGTAGCGGGGGCCTAGATAGCGCACACGCCTTGTTGTCGTGCGGCCCTAGCAATTTGCCACCGTCATCCCCCGAGCAGGGTTGATGGCTTGCCGCGCAGTTAATCGATTGCTTTGTGCGAATGCCTTTCAGGCAAAACTTCACTGAAAGGAAAAATGGGTAAACAAAAATTCTGAGAAAAAATTAAATTGAGTACGAAATGAAGTTCACTTAGCGTTTCCATAGTTTAAATGAAAGATTTGTTCACTGGAAAAAAAAACACATTGGATCTAGAGTCCATGCAGACTCTTAAAAACATCGACAAGAAACTGGACTCTAGATTCAATCAGATTTAAGCTTAAATCAAAAGGAAATCCGCTCAAATTAAGAGGCTTGGTTCTTGATTTAAGCTTAAATCTGATTGAATCAAGAGTCCAGTTTCTTGTCGATGTTTTCAAGAGTCTGGACTCTAGATCCAAATTGTTTTTTGTCCAGTGTTGGCCAAAAAACAGATTAATGATTATCTTCTGACAATAAGATGCCTTTCATAGAATACTTAACGTTCCAGGGGGAGCGAGTCGAGGAGAACGTTACGTCATTTTTTTAAAGTGTTTAAAATCCGAAATTCAGCGTTGTGTATTCAATGAATGGCCAAGGATGAGAACAGTGGCAATTACATCCATGACAAATAGCATTAACTGTCTATAATGTGCTTGCATAAATTATCACTAAGTGAACTGCGTCAATACATTTTTAGATGTCCGTCATTGGACTTTGTAAAATTTGGATTTTTCGATATCAAGAGGGCATCCGGTCGGGAAAGATGAAGATTTGTCCACATGCAAAGCCTCTGTGTCGATGGTTCCTTCAATACGCTTGTTCTACCAATCGGCGATTAATAAAATCTGCTCCACTTGCTCAACGAGAATCATTGATGAGGCGTGGTGCACGCATGAAATACACTATCACGATAGCATTCAGAATATTTGAAACATGATAATTCATTATTTTTTGCTGGTATCAAGGATTCCATGATCGAATACAATATTGTTAAATGCACAAATGAAGTGGCCCTTTATTCACTGGGATAAATGGAGTTTTACTATAATGTATGGCCACACTGGATCGTACCGCATCTCACAATCAGTATTACGCAATCGGCACGGTCGCGAATCGCACTGATCGATGAGAAAAATCGATTTATCGACAGCGATGGCGGATGGTTGAGTCCACCGATCAAGAGTCGCGACTGACCGCAGTCCAGAGCCACAAGCCTCTGAGTCTGAGTACCAACGCCGTCAGATCGCCAAATACACAACCCAAAAACATGAACAGAATACATGAAAACTCAGCGCAAACTAAGCGGTGGTTGCGTGGAAATAAACCAGCGATTTCCTGATTTTTCTAATTAATTTGGTGAAAACGGGCGATAAGCTCGATAACGGTGACCATTTGTCCTCGAGGGTCCTCAATTTCGCACCACAACTTGAACATCAGTCGTCAAACCCACTAAATCTGGTGTGGGATGCGAGAATGACAGCAACGCCTTCAAAATACAACTATTCGTACTCTAGGGGTGTTGTTATTGCATACGCCGTGTAAATGAAGGGACTCTGGCACTCTGGCAGCCTCTGCACACACTTCCGAGATGGGGTTCATCTCGAGTTTGACATCCAAACAATTTGCCTTGCAGTCTATCAAAAGACCTCATCTTTTCAGAGCTGCGAGCAAACAACAGGAAAAAACCTTTGCTGATATTTTTCCGGCCATGTGTACCTGACTGAATTCTAAATCAGGTGGAAGGCGGGTGGATTTTATCAAATTTTTCTCAAAAAGTCAGGATAGATAAAAAAAAAAGTAACTAACGAAACTGGAACGCGAGAACGGGAGGAGCGAGTTTAGTTTCTGAGAAACTGTGGTCAGTTTCACATCATAGATACAGCTACATCACTTTCAGAAAAAATTCAAAACATGACGGTTTCCACCGCTGACCGATAACGCTACTTCAGAAATTAACGGAAATATTAAGGGGGCAAAACACTTGTAAGATACACCGGTTTACATCTACCTACTAGACGGACTTTGATAGCGATTACAAAGTATTAAGTTAAGAATTCTTGATTTGCAACAGACATACTAAAAAACCGGTATTGATTAACCGGTTAGGTTTGCAGGAATTTCCATTCAACTCGAGCAAGATGATTCTAGAGCGAAACTCGATGGAAGCTTGGAATTTTCGCTCTTAAATCGAAGACCAATCTTTTTTTGGACACCAGGGATCGAGGAAAGTGAGGAAAACGCGACATTCTATATCTACCGAGTTTAAAGTCCAACCGATTTAAACTGAATGAAGACATTTTCATCTTTCGCTTCATGTGGATACCGCTGAGTACCGCGTAAGAAAAAAGTCTGTGCCCTCCTTAGAGCGATGATCTGGCAAGAAAGCCACTGGGCATTACTGCCGTCCTAGGGAAAAGCACCGTATGAGCCATCGGGCGTTGCCAAATTCCCTTCGACAAATCAGGAATTTTCAGGAAAATGTGCGAATATTTCTCCTCCCATTTTCCGGAGGATTTCGTTCGTAATTCAATCTAAAGAGTCCGAAAATGTTAAGGAAAAACATTCATAACATCCTTCGAAAATAAATATTTTCTGATGGGAAATTCGGCAACACTGGAATACTCATACGGCGTTTTCACTTAGCACGGCAGATTAGCCACTGAGTCTGTGGGTTCCAAGGTGAGCAACTGCGTCACAGGTCGCCGCAACCCGTAACCTGCACGCGGTCCGACACCCCCCTCCCCCTCCCTTCTCCGTTTACCCGACTTCTTATTTGCCACATGAAAACAAATCCCCTCGCTGATGCCCCTAAAAAATTCAATCCACCGATGGCAAATTCTGCTGCTTCGAGAACGATTTCTCACTCCGCCGTTCAGAAATTTTCTTTCCCCGACGATCGCGAATTAAGATCTGCGTCCTGCATTTTCTACATCGGATGAATTCTGGAAACGTTACTTTCAATTGGACTGAGCTAAGCAGAAAGGAACCTACCCACATTTGGGAAAAAATTGAGTTATGAGTGGTTTTGAACTCAACCACTGCTCTACTGTCTATCGCAAAAAATTCAAAGTTTTTGTTGGAGCAAATTTTGCAGAAGTAGAACTTGAAGTTTATCTTTTACATTGAGTCTTATGCAGGAGCCAAACTTTAAACTTCTTTTTCTCGGTTCGATCCCGATGTGGCTTGGTTCCTTTCTGTTTAACTCCGTCCGCGCGCTAGGCAAAAAGGTACCTAACCCACATCAGCTACTGTCAAATTTAATTCGGCAATATTTACATGAGCACGGTTGCGCGGAATTTTTGCAAATTTCAGTGAATTTTCTGCATAGTACGAAGCAAATTCTTTAACATTTTCAAAGACATCCGCAAAAACGTTCTATCGTGCAACGTTAAATTGCGTAGT